ATACTGAGAGGTGATTGGATGTGTCAGAATCACCTGGAGGTTCTTACTAAAAATATAGTTTCTTGGTGCTACCCCAGACTGAATCGGAACAGCCAGGGGGTAAGACCCCAGAAACTGATTTTTCCTAAGTTCCCAGGCACTTCCGAATCAAGGTTAGGCTGGACACTGTATCAGTTTGCTAACACTGCCATAACAAACTACCACAAACTTGGTGACTTAAAACAACACAGATTTATTCTCTCACAGCTATGGAGGCCAGAGGTCCAAAACCAAGATGTAGGCAGGTCCATGCCCTCTATGAAGCCTCCAGGGGGAGAATCCTTCCTGCCTCTTCCAGCTTGTGATGGTTCTGCGGTCCCTTGGCCTGTGGCTGCATAACTCCAATCTCTGCCTTCATCTTCACATGGCCCTCCCCTCTTTCTGCATCTCTTTTCTGTTTGTCTCTTATAAGGACACTTGTCATTGGATTCAGGGTCCACGTGATAATCAAGGATGAATTCATCTCAAGATCCTTAAAAATTTACATCTGCAAAGACCCTTTTCTTCCCCCAAAAAGGTCACATTCACAGTTTTGGGGATGTAGAAACATCATCTAGCAGGCTACCAGACACCGTGATGATAACTCAACTGGGTGGATGAGGGAGGGGACTGGAGTCCAGAACTCCAAGCTAAGTTCTCCAACAGTGGCAGGAAGAGGTGGGGAAAAAAAAAAAAAACCCAAGAGAGAGTCATCCGCTAAGTAAACAGCTCCACTTCTAAGTCTCGTGCAGACCTAGGGATCCCAGGCCACTAAGTATCCAGGGCTCCATCTGAAAGTACTTTAGAAAACAGAAAAAAGCACCACAATTACCAATTGATAAAATACTAGACCACGTTACCCTCAAAACAGAGGTGAGCACTTTGAAGGGCTGAAAAGGCTTTTATTTAATTCACTTTCTAAACTAAATGAATTTGATACGAAGCTAGGATTTCCTCTCTAAGATGCTGTGGCCATTTTTTCCTCACCACCTTAGTAACTTCCAGTCCAAACAATAAGTCACCATGGGAGCATGGCATCAGTTTTTCCATTTTCTGAAATATTTCCTAGGAGAGATTTCCCTGGCAGTCAGGGGGTACGGGTTTGATCCTTGGTCGGGGAGCTAAGATCCCATATGCTTTGTGGCCAAAAACCCAAAAAACATTTTTTAAAAATCCACAGAAGCAATAATGTAACAAACTCAATAAAGACTTTAAAAAACAGTGCACATCAAAAAAATCTTAAAAAGAAAAAAGTGTTCCAAGGAGCAGGCAATACTCTCAGTCAACAACACTGAAGAAGGTTTGGTTATACCTCCCTTCTCATCACCTCCCAGTGTCCCAAAATCTTCACAGACTGCCCTCATTTTTATATCTATACATGCTCTACCTTCAAAGTTCTACATTATTACTATTTGCATGGGCTCCTTGATGCACAAAAGCTGTCTGCCCTCTAACAAGGAATTCCCCTTCTCAGCAACAGGGTTCGCATGACCAGAGGGTCGATGGTGAGTGGTGGGGGCGGGTGAGTAAGGAGTCCAGTACTTGGCTGAAGTTAAAGTCGCAGCCAGGGGACAAAGCCTTCAGGATATGACTCTCAGTGTGGTCAAAACCACCCCATCATACAACCACCCCATCATAATGTGAAAAGGCACACCTCTCTGTAGCTTCCACCCAGAGACTGTCCCAAAGTACTGCTGAGCTAGCAAATCCACAAGGATTTGCTGTCTCTGTGCTTCACCGCGGTGTCTAGAGTGGTTCTCCCTGGACAGTAACACACAGGAGTCAGCTGAGGACCGTGTGAAGTGCAATGTCTGACACAGTGGGTTATCTATGTGTGGGCCATTTTCCTTTACGTCAGGGTGGGGATGGTGGAGGTACACAACCAAGTATAAGGTTGAAGGAAACCAAGTTTCCATATCTGCTGGGGAGATGACAAGTTATCATGGTGATGATGATGGTGCCAATGACGATGAAAACTAATATTTACTGAGCACTTTCTACATGCCAGGCCCTGTGCTGAGTATTTGCAGACATTATGACCCACTTAGCACCAAGAGAGCTGATGAAAAGGAGAGTGATTAAAAGATGTTTAGAAAAAAGGGAAGGCATTATAAATTCCAGGATGTTCGGAAAGTCCATAGAGCGTCAACAGAAAAATGGAGGACAACTCTCACATTGTCCCAGCCTAGGATGAGTTAGGAAGTAGCTATCTGCCTGGTATTTCAGAAAGCATCCTTGGGCCAAGGAGGTCAATATCATAGACTAGGTGTATCAAGATATGCCTGCTGTCCCCTGTTTTCACCCCATTTCCCAAGACCATCCAGATCAACCTTGGCATTTAGCTGCCTTGGGAGTGACAAGGCCAGATAAGATGGGGCTTCCTTTGGTGGGTTCTTCCTGTTGCATCCTGAAATGGGCACTCTGAGCACAGAGCAGCTTAATCAAGGCTGCTTTATCTGATGCCTCTCCAGATGTCCTTGGACACCAAAGCTGTGTTCTCCCAGCGAATCACTTTGCCTATATGAGATGGACACACTTCACAGCCAAAGTAGCTCCTTTCTTTGCTGTGACATGGAGAAGGCTCAATGGCCATGAAATTCTCTTGGGCTGGGACTTGGAGAGCTCCAAGCCCAATGTTCTGCAGGAAAAGACTGGGCAGATTGCCAGTGAGGAAATCCAGCCTGGTAGATTGAGTCAGATGGTGAAGCTCTACAACTGCCAAGCAGAGCAGCAGTCCAGAGGCTGAATCGGCCTGCAGACCTGGTTCATTCAGCCCTACAGTACTTTAGAAGTTTTCATGTCCTCCAGTTTGCCATGATATAACCATTCTATCTTCTTAAATCCAGCCTACACTGAACATTAGTATCACCTTCCTGTCCCTGTATATATCAGCATTTTAGACCCTAACTACAATGACATAGAGATACATCACTTAGGCCTGTAACACATCAGTGATTCCTACAGTGATTCACAGGCCTCCTAAAATTTAGATGGTGAGATACCTGTATCCAAGCCTTTAAAACTACAGAAGTACTCCATTTTAATGAAGAAGAGGTGGTCAGAAGCCTTAACACAGAATATATTTGGGTCACATAATATTTCTTCAGGTTCCCTCCAGTTTGTTCACTCCCATGTGGAAAATCTCCTACTATATGAGTCCTGGGAGACAAAGAGGGTAGGTATCAAATTCTCCACTTTGTTTCAAATTGTTTTATTTATTTTTAAATTTTTATTTGTTTATTTTTGGCTGTACTGCAAAGCTTGCAGGCTCTTAGTTCCTTCACCAGGGATTGAACCTGGGTCCCAGCAGTGAAAGGACAGAGTAATAACCACTGGACCATGATCCCTAAAGTCATTTTAATGATACACTCTGCTCAAGCTCTGAGAAAGGGATGATAACTCCTCATCAGACCTCCACACAATCAGACTCACACTCTCAGAATTTTTAGAGAGGGTTCCAGGGGCTTCCCTGGAGGTCCAGTGGTTAAGACTCCATGCTTCCACTGCAGGGGGTGCAGGTTTGATCCTCTGTTGGGAAACTAAGATCCTGCATCCCATGCAGCATGGCCAAAAAAAATTTTTTAACTAAAAAAATAAATCCAGGAAAAGAGGGTTCCATATTCACCATTAGCAGGTGATGTAACAAGGGAAGCAGTAACTACAGAGGATGCACAGCTCCTTACTCGGTAAGGGCATTTTGAATTGATATCATGTTCCATCACTGCATTACCAAGACAACAACAATTCTAGAAACTAGATCAGAGAAGCACAGCCTGGATGTCAAACAATAGGGTCAACACAATAAAGCCTAACCAGCAAGACACTTGGGGAATCTCAGAGGAGTTCTCAGTGGAAGAGTGGCGATCTCTTCAAGGAAGCAACCCTACCTGGTCTAGAGACTTTGGGGGTGCTGGTACAGAGCGAATCCCTTGGTCTGGAGACCAATCTAAGCATTCAAATGCCAATGTACAGAAATGATTTTTACGGCCCTGGGCTGTCAGCTATTTATTTGAGTCCACGTAGATACTTTCCTTGTACACACATTCCTTCTCTTCTGTTTTCCACAATCTCTCCCCGCAGTGTTTTCCATCATTTCTCTTCCACCTTCCATTTTTCCAGTTTGAAGCCACCACTGGCAATACCGCAATCTCTGGAAAGAGGCCAGGCATGACACAGACCTTGTGGAACTGTCACCTCACCCTGTGGTTCAGGAGGTGCGGGTGACTAGAGGGACCATCAAACGCATGACCAGAGGCCCAGAAGCTTTTCTGTACTGCGGAAATGCTACCAAAACTCTGGCCAGACACACACATGGATGCACAATGGTTCAGACAAAGGAAACAGGGAAAAACTGTGGGGCGGGGGGGAGGGCAGAGTATTAAAGGAACGAAATTCCCGTTTGCTTCTGTCAAGTTAACCCTCAAAATAAATCTGATCAAAACTAAATGAAGGTTTCTGGCAGTGGGTATCCAAACAGTTCCCCCTGCTCACCTGTTTTAGAGTGAAACGATCTGGTGGCGAAGGGAACAGGGAGCAATTACATCAATAAATATGTTGCCTGCATTAAAAAAAAAAAAATGTAAAATTCCCCAGACAAACCTAAACTCAGTGTAGATAAAAGCCCACAATAGACTGTTTAGAAAAATTATGCTTTAAATACACTGATTAAAAAAAAAATCTAAAAATAGGCTGTTCTGTAGAACAGCTCGAGTCTCTGCCTGTGCTTTCATTTTAGAAAACAAATGCTCATGGACTCCTCAGGGGGAGGGGTTTAGCACAGGGATTCAAACACACAGAAAATGGCCACCGGGGTTCAGAAACCTGAACGCAACAACCAGGGGCACTCAGGGGACCTCCTGGAAACACAGGGCACTTACCTTTCACAAGAGTCAGTGCTAGAGACAGATATAACCTGTTTTTTTTTTTGCCCCACCAGCGACATAAATCATGGCCTCCAAAGTGTTTGTTTGCTGAACGCCACAATGACTAATCACCCGACTTTTGTTTTTCTCCCTGAACCAGAGAACCTCATAGGAGGGAAACAGGTCATTTTTAATGTAAGGGAGCTGCTAGGATTGGAGGTAAGATTCCTGTTTAAGCTTCATACATGAAAAAGAGAAGTTAAGGACCTCAAAAAGTATTTCCTAAAATAGGGACGCAGTCTTCTTATCAGACATGCCAATCATTCAATAGAAAAGAAAGTCTTAAAATAGATCATTCAAACATGGTACAAAGCTCTTGAGTGATTTCCTGAAACTTGTCAAAAAACAAAAATGAATATTCAGACTTAAATAAACAACCAAACAAGGTCAGAGCTCACTTTGCAGTGTATATTCATTTACAGGGAAAAAAACAAAACATTCTCCCAGGTAATTTACAATGCTTCTGTGCAAAAAAAGTCAACTTGCAGGGTAGAGTGGCTAAAGAAAACTCCAGAATTGCTAGACCTTGACAGGAAAAAATCTTAAAGGTCAGGCTTTTTTTTTTCAAACCCGATTTAGCACAGCACCCGGGGTAGGCCAGTTCTCTAATGTCTGAGTAAAACCCCATTTGGGGCTTCATTTCACTGCCACGTCATCCCTTTTTCCGTCTATCCCTGTGCCTTCGGCTTGCTCAAAGTGGTCCTCCCACCCCTTCCCGTTTTAAAGCAAAGATGGAACATGCATTAGTCTGAGGGAAAGGGTGGAATAGGCAACAGAAGAAATTTGCAGCAGGGACCCAGGATGCAGTAAGACTGGCCACAGCCTCCCCTACAAGTACCAAGGACCACCCGAGACCTTCGCATCCCTGCTCTCTGAGTTCGGGTCAAGGACTATAGGACCAGAATAGACGGGTCTACACAGGGACAGACCAGAATGCTGAGTAGATTCTGAGACCAAAAAAAATCCTCCCTTTGGTCTAGAAGTGAATCGGCATTCTATTAGAGCTAATCAGAAATCTCCATGCCTGCATGAAAATGCTTATGCGTTTAGGGAGACGGATTCTGAATGCCTCTGTCTTCTGCCTGGCGAGATAATAAATTCAGCTCTGTTTTTACTGAATCGCTGGTCTTATTATCTAGTGATAATCAACTCTGCAAATAATCACAAGTGTTCTAACACACAAACAGGAAAAATGACACAAACAGAACGGGACCTAGAAACAACATCCCATACACAAAGCAGGAAGTGGCAGCTTGTATCTGTTCTCACCTGGCACAAAGCCGGCCTTCAGGGGGTGGCCGAAAGAACCCCAGGATGCTCCTCTAGCACTTGAACAGCCACTGGATTCCTCAGGACCACGGGGCAACGAGGACCATGCGCACAAGTGTGACCAGCAACATGGTCTGTGCGAGCTGGGTCTTCCTCTTTATACTCCTAGAGAAAATGCTACATTCCTCTCAAAACTAAATTATCGGAGACCTTAGTAATTTTCACTTAAATGAGAGACAAAAATGCTTTAAAAAATAGGAGACAGACTTCTGCCTCTCTTAGATTAGAAGGAAATTTTCCTGACTCTCTTAATTGACAAGAATCCAAGAGCTTCGATGGAACAGGAAGTTTGCATTGTGGTGTCTTTCTGGTGACGTCTGTAAGAAGCCCAGCAGGCATGGCGGCTGCTCTCGTCAACAGAACAGTTGGAGAGAGCCAGTGCTTCCTTAGGCTTGGCTTGCTGACTGCCCATTCCTGCTCTCCTGATAATCCACCTTAGGACAGGACCTACCTGTTTCTGCAGCAAACTGGACAGGCAAGGGACACTAGCTTCTGTTCCCTGTCTGCCACAAGTGGTATGACCCTGAGCAAATCCTATGACTTCCCTGCACTTCTGTTCTCTTATCTGGAACATGAAGAGGCTGGGCTAGTTTATTTCTCAGGTTCTTCCCAGCCAAACAGTTTCAAAACATGATTCCTTACCTCCCATTTTGTCATCTGTTGATTGATTCCCCAACCAGTAGAAACAAATCCTCATTTCCTCCAAAGCAGACCATCTCTCCCACCCTTAAACCCATGCACTCTCCTCAAAAGTGTATGGGTAAAGGCCGGACCCAAGGTCTGGCCAGTACAAGTACCCCTTGGAGGACAGTGGGAGGGAGCTTCGCAACTGGGATCTCTGACAAACCTCAGATGTGGAATTACCATCTGCTTGCTTTTCTGCCAGGGAGGAAGTAGAATTACTGCTGGAAGGAGCCTTTTCCATCACTGAACCAAACTTCCTCAGGTTACAGGTGAGGAAATCAAGCCAGCACAGTTCTGTGCCTTTCTTTCCCAAGGCAGCACAGTGAGTCACGGGAACCAGTCCAAGGCCTCCCTCCAGTCTGATCTTTTACACGATGGTCTCTGACCTCCCCCTCAAAACCCCACTGCAGGGCTCTGGGTTCTTACCCCTGTAGACTTCCTTAGGGCCTCAGGGCAATCCCCTGAGGAACTGTTTTAAACTTTCAAAGTGACAGAGCAACTCTGGGAACATAAAGTCCCACACAGGGACAGTGACAGCTATAAAGTGAAAGTGAAAGTGAAGTCGCTCAGTCGTGTCTGACTCTTTGCGACCCCATGGATCTTTGCGACCCCATGGATTGTAGCTCACCAGGCTCCTCTGTCCATGGGATTTTCCAGGCAAGAGTACTGGAGTGGGTTGCCATTTCCTTCTCCAGATGATCTCCCCAACCCAGGGATCAAACCTGGGTCTCCTGCATTATAGGCAGATGCTTTACCATCTGAGCCACCAGGGAAGTCTAATGACAGCTATAGCAAGACACAAATCTTTGACCTGGTCAGTGCAGCAATCCACTGGTGTCTTCTCTTTAAAAGACAAGCCTGCAGCAGCACTTGGATGATAGATAAGAACAGGTGAGAAAGACAGGGAGGCCCTGAGGGCAGGGTCTTGATCTGACGATACCTAGCACCGAGCTCACTTTTGTTGAATGAATTCAAGTGTGCATATTACCTCTGTCCATTCGCTTCTTGTCAAAAATTCTGAGATTACTGGAATACCAGGGGCAAGGGTCTCTAAGCCACAATCAGGAACGATGAGCTATTTCATGCTCTCAGTATGTGGCTGGGGAAACTACGTGGGGTGTGGAGACAGAAGGCTGGACTTTGGAGCTAGATAAGAGCCCAGAGTGTGAAAAACTCATGTCTACAACATCAGACCGAACCTCTCAGACTCAATTTCTGCCACACCAGTTATTTGGAGATTCTAGTAAGATGGCTGAGATAATGTACGTAAGGGGCAGAATGGTCTTCATGAAATTCAGTTCAGTCTTCTCCCCTCAGGGCCTATGGGTTTAGACATAGAAGCCCTGATTCTAAGCAAGGCTCCAGGACACTGGCATCCTGTTCCAAAAGAAGTGAACCGTCAGTGGAATGCCAACAACAGTTATAAAATGACTCAATAGAGTTTTAATAAACATATCCCCATTGAGTCACATGATTTTTAAATTACATACAAGGAATGTAAAGTGCAACTTAATAAACACGAGTCAAATATGTTTTATATTCTCCATAAATAGCTTAACACCAAACATGTATGTATGTCTCAATCCTTTCCTGTGAATAAATAAAGAAGAGAGCTGGGAAGAGGAGGAGAAAAAAGGATAAATTATTCTCTCACCTATAAAATGAGGCTGGAAACAATGTGAACTAGTCTAAAAAGTATATGATTACAAGATGTGAAGAAAAAGGAAATATAATGACACAGATGTTTATCAACCAGAAGACAGAGTCAGATAGACAAATGCATCGAACTATTTTAATGGTGTGCTTGTGCACTGTTACTGCCATTAAATATATTATTGGTAACAACATTTAAAGTTGCACTGGTTTTGCAAACTCTGGGCATAGGAACAGGGTGTTACCACAGGAAAGAAGTTGATATGAGGGCTGTGTCACCCAGCACTGCTATGGATACACCGCAGATGGCAACAGTGGGGTGTGATAAGACCACCGTTCCTTTACTATCTGGGATCCATGTGTCTTTATCTTATTACAAAATAATTCGCAAACATGAATAACACAAAACTTTTGAGCACAGGCACGTCTTTATGGATTTGAAATCAGCCTAACAAGTCTCAGGTTTATCTCCTTTCTCTACTTCCTAAAAACTGGCATTTGCTAATCTTCATAACTGCAGTACTTGTTTAAAATGAAGATTCTCAGGAGTCTGCCTGAAATTTACTGAATTTGAGTCTCTGTGCCAAGGACCTGAGAACCTACATTTTAGTCAATCCATCAGGTGTAATCTTTTATAAAAAAAATTTTTTTTTGATGTGGACCATTTTTGAAGTCTTTATTGTATTTATTACAATATTGCTTCTATTCAGTGTTCTGGTTTTTTGGCCATGAGGTGTGTGGGATCTTCTCTCCTACCACAGACTGAACCCACACCCCCTGCACTGAAAAGTGAAGTCTTAACCACTGAACCACCAGGGAACTCCTTCCCAATGTAGATTCTTATCCATACTAAATTGCAGATCATTTGAACTCTCACAGGATAGACTAGCTATCATGGAAGGTATGCGCTTGCATGACAAAATGAACATGCTAAAATAAGTCATAAAAATAAGCCTTTAGGTATAGACAGATATTAGACAAAAATACATATACCTAAAAAATTGTAAGGGGAATGGAATTAGCATTTATTAATTGTTTACTATGGCATGATCCTGACCAAGTTATATATTACTCAATCTCCAAAATAATCCTATTTGAGTTATGGATGGAAAAAGTTAGGCTTAGAGAGTAACTTTTCTGAAGTCACAAATCTGGAAAATGGCCCAGCTAGGTTATGAAACTAGATTTATCTGACCCCAGCCTTCTCATTCCATTGTACTAAGCTCATATGCCCATGAAAACACATACACACGCGCGTGCGCGAGTGCACACACACACACACTCTCTCTCTCCTGTCACACAACAGTCATATGGCAAAAGGCAAAATACAAACCTGTTTACTGTTAGAAACCTTTGCATCAACAGAAATGTAGTTTTTAAGAACTTTCTATCAACGGATATTCTTTGGTCGTCTGTTGACAACAGAATAAAGAAGATGACAACTATCAAAACCACATTTAACATCTTGAAATTTTAGTAGTCAGAAGTGTGTTTGGGGGCTTGCTAGGATAAAATTTTTGCGGTGAGTCTTCACATTTTTTTTTGGAAATGAAACCACTTGATATCCAGTCTGCAAGTCACAGCATGTTACAAAGGAAAACAACAAATAAGGGATCTAGCACTTGTCAATCCAATGGCCATCTTGGGCCTCAAATCCCCTGTCTCCTTCATCTGGGCTTCCCTGGTGGCCAAGTGGTAAAGAATCTGCCTGCAATGCAGGAGACCTGGGTTCGCTCCCTGAGTGGGGAAGACCCCCTGGAGGAGGGCATGACAACAGACTCTAGTACTCTTGCCTGGGAACCGTGACTGAAGCGACCAAGCAGAAGCCCAACATTTCACACTCTCTCCTCTGGGAAACCCTCTACTGCTAGCCAGAGCCCTGTTCTCTCATTCTTCCTTGCTCTCTTGTCAGACTTTTTGCTAGGCCCTCCAGAGCTCCTTCTTTTCTCAGAAGGTTCCCTCCTCAAGCTTTGCCTCTCTACGGTTTTTCACTGGAAAGTTTGCTCTCTCATCTCTTAACTTTTTTTATATCAGTGATTCTAAACTAACCCTGGCCTCCCTCTGGGGTGCAAAACCACTGATTGTCTGGGGGACATCATACTTCAACACTTCAAACTCAGGCCCTCGAAAATGCAGTCCCTCACCCTTCTCCAAGTTGTCTTCATGGGTACCACTGCTCTGAAAATCTCAGTGTCAGCTTTAGCTGTTTTTTTCTCTACTCAGATGTCAGATTGGGTCAGTTTTTCCCTTTGCGTCTGTTCCTTTCCCATTTCACTGCTATCATCCATTTCCAGCCTTCCCCAGGTTCCTCCCACCCTGCCTTTTCCTTGGTGGATTGTGGTGCCGTTCTAACTGGTCTCCCTGTCTCTGGTTTCTGCCCTGCCTTTTCTTCTGATTTCAAAGTAGGTACTCGATAAATATTTGCTGTGACATTTATAGAACTCCTAGAAGTTTGCAAAGCACATTCACACTCAACATCTCATTTGTTCCATTTGGAGCTTAAGTTTATTACAAGTAGCATTCCAGGCTTACAATCTGATTTCTGTTACTTAAGGCAACCACTGGAGCTACTTCTAACTTTGAACCTTGTAAATTAAAGCATCTCTTAAATTGCTTTACTTTTGAAGATTCAGTGTCTTGTGTGGCCTATAAGCTAAAAGAGAAGAGCATTTCAAGTCAAAGAGAGCCCCCTTGCCAAAATACTTTTTTCTCTGCTGATAAAGGTGATGGTGACAGCAAAATCAAAATTTAAAAGAAACTCCATTCTGAAGATTTTTAAAAACAGTTTTTCCTATTTATCCAGTTGGTATCCTATTTACAAGTCAATCTCCAACATCCTTGGAAGCTGATATTCTGGCATGGTAACAGAAAAATTCTAACAGTTGAGCAATAATTTCTCACTAAGAGAATGAACATGACCATTATCATGACTGTAAAAACAAGAGTAATATGTTTGGTCTTAAAAACCCAAATAAGTGCCTTAAATACCCAAATAAGAGCTCAATAAACATTTGTTGAATGAATAAATGAATTCAGAGCCAGTCTTACTACTGTTTATAAATTGAAAGCATCAGTTTCCACAGATGGATGGAAAAGCACGTTAAACTTGAAAAAACAAAAACAAAAAAACTTGCATTGAGGGGCCAGAATTGTGATACGTCAACTACCCCGGTCTCTTCTGGGTACAGTCCAACTGCTGCAGAAGTAGGCGGAGGAGATGGGGGCTACTGGCAGGCACTGTCTTCTTGACTCGGCCTCTCTGGAGTTAAGGTTTCAAGCCCCTGGAGGGCAAGCACTCTACCTTGAACTTCGTGGTCCTAGCCCTGTGCTCTATGCATACTGAATGTACATCATAAACGTGGTCTGAGAGGCAAAGTCCTCCATGACCTGCCTACATTTCCACCTTTCAATCCTTCACATCTGTTCTTCCTTACTTCGCAGAGGTACTGTGAGGAGTAAGTTAAAACACAGCACTTAAAGCATTTAACACACTGCCTTGCACTCACATACAAAAGTGCTTGGTCAATGGTAGTTGTAGCCATCATCTGGGGCTCTGTCTATGTCTCAAAGATGGAGCTTAGTGTGCTGGGCTGTCAATACATGTTGGTGTGAACAGTGTGCCTCCTGGGGGTGGACTCTTCATATGTGTATCCTCAGAGCCTAGCACGGTGCTCCCCCTGTAGCAGGCCCAGAAGCTGAATGCATGAATGAGCAATCGAGATGCAAGCTCCAGGCCTGCCCCAACCCAGTCTACTGGGTCTCCCTGAAGAGTCATTTAAACTCTCTGGGCCTTGGTGATGTCTGTGGGTCCTTCCAGCCTGAAGAAGCCAGAAGATGAGACTCACAGAAGCTCTCACAACAGTCACCGGCAGAACTGGAACTAGAAGGCTTTCGTTCCCCCTTCATCACCAGGCACCTCACACATCAAGTCTACTTAATAACAGCTTGCCCAAATGTCACTGTCACTTTGTAATCCCCAAACCTGGTGGATTGCTGGCCACAAAGCATAAGCTCCTTGGGAGCGGTTTAGTCCCTCAGAAAAAAACATTGCCTATTTCAAGTAGAGTACAAAAGATGCAAATTCGATTACCTCAGTTAGAACAGACCAGCTTTAACAGAGTTAGTGTCTTGAGCTTTGGAAGAAATCACTTGGAAATCCTTGGTTCCGAGTCCTCCATTTCCTCCACATCTAGATCTAAAAAGAAGTAAAACAAAAAGAATAACGTCTCATGACTAGCTGCCAGAACCGAACGTATCAGAAACAAAAGTGACTTCCATAAGCATGTGGACTGAACACCTACTGTCAGTCCAGCACTGGGTAAAGCAATTGACATAGGTGATCTCATACAGTCCTCAAAACACAGGAGACATCCCCCCATTGTACAGCTGCATCAAAAGGGGCTCTGAAAGGTCACAGAATCTGTTCAAGGTCACAAAATCTGTTCAAGGTCTATGTTAGACCCGAGACTTAAACACAGGTTCGCTCCAGAGTCCAAATCCTGGGTTATTAACCTGTAAGTCAAGGTTTAAAAACTTTTTTTGACAGTGACCCACCATTTTAAAAAATCATATTACATAAACTGAAAGTCCAAAGCCTGAAAACAACACTTACTCTTATTATATGCAATGCATTATGATATTTTCTAGTCTATTCTTTTTTATATTGCATTATATATTCTATATCTTTAAAAAAAATCTGGTAGCAACCCACTAAACTGATTTCACAATCCTCTCATGGGTTTCTATTCTTGCTGGAAAAACACTACCCTCAGAGATAGTACCTCACTAGAAGTTTCTCAAAAACCGCGGACCTAATCCTCCTATGCTTTTTAACCATGAGAACCTGACCGAGTAGTTGAGCTTCATAATTAGAAGTTTCTAACCTTTAAAATATGTCTAAGGCACCAAAATACGTATCATCCATTATGGATCCTTAGAAGAGATATTTAATTTGGGCCAAAGTCTAGAATGGACTTAGTCACTTACCTATAGAAGAGGAGTTATAAAGTGGCACCACGGACAGACTAAAACCTCAGGTGATTTATAATATATCCTGCAAAGTGGCTAACAGCGGGCGGTCATGTTGTACCAACAGAGGAGACCTAACTACAGCCGAAGTAAGAGGCTGAGATTGCAAAGCCCTGGGGGCAGGGCCCTTGCCTTCGCACTTCCCATTCAATTCCAGGGGCTTTGGTGCTCAACCAAGGAAATCCTCAGGTTCCGGGTGGGTCAGGATGGGGGTCCCAGTCGCGGTACGAGGGAGGAGAGATGCGACTGTCAGCGCTGTTCCCGAGCCTGCTGGACCGGAGCCCGTCACGTCCCCCGCCCTTGGGTACGCGTTGGTCCCCGGACCCCCGCCCTCCAGCATAGCCTTGCAGATGGGCCACGGCTGCGGCGCAACGTGCCCGACACCGCGGTTGGACCCCGACTCCCAGGGCGCGGGCCCGGGAGTCCGGGCACCTGCGGGCGCCGGGTCCCCGCAACACCTCGGCTTTCCAGAGTCCGCGGAGCTCCCAGTCCCGCGCAAGCGTCCCTCGACCGGGTTTTGAGGCCCCTTCCCGGGAGAGCAGGGGTCGGGCCGGCCTCGCCTCGCCCGCCCACCCTGCACACGGCCCCTGCGCTGGCACTTACAGGGCTCGGCCGCTGCCCCGCGAGAGCGTTCCCCGGGGGTCCATGGCGCTTCCGGACCCGCGATTCAGGCCGCGGCGTCTCGCAGCACCGCCCAGAAAATGGACGCCGGCGGCTCGGCTCGGCCGGCCCGTCCCGCCCCCGGCGCGGGGTTGGGGACGCCACCCGGCCGGGAAGAGGGCTCCTCGGCCTCAGCCGCGGGCCGGGCTCCGGGGCACCAACGAGCGAGTCCAGGACCAGGCCTCGGGAGGACTGAGGCAGGCCCGGGACGTGGGGGGTTGGGGGGGGATGGGGTGGGGACACACCTCGGCCCCGCAAGACCCCAAACCCAACCTGGGCGCTGGGCCCCAAATTCCACCAAGGGAGCTGCGGCCTCAGCCTCTCTCCTCTCGGGAGATCCCAGAACCCGCCCCAAGGGCAACCAGTTAGGGGTCTACGGCCACAAAGCCTAGTCCGTACCAGAACCAGGCCTGGGTTTGCAGACGGGTCCCCGGGTTCCGCATCCAGATCCCAGACAGCATCCAACCCCTGCCCGTTTAAGGGAGGCAGGTTTCAGAGAAAGTTAACTGCAGCTTTCATTTAAATTCTCAGGAATCGAGTGCCACCTGCGCTTTCCCATGGCTGACAGGAGATACCTAGATAGATTTTCCCAACGTGCTGTGAAAGCTAGTTCGCGCAAAAGACCCAGGCCTCCTCCTGAAATAAAGCGCACTGACTGCCTGCTATGCTAGACCTTTCCTCCAAAGATTCAGGGACTGCTCATTGAAAAAGTATTTACTGAGGCCTGCCACAAACCCGCCTTTTGGAGGAGCTAACAGCCTAGTTAGCTATATTGTACAGGTTTTGTTTGCTTGTTTTCTACAAAACCATCCACCTTCTCTGCGTTTTGGTGGTATGAGTCTTATTTGTTAATTTTCTTTTGAAGAGATGCATTCCCAGGTTACAGTTTAAAAAGATAAGTCTGTTCTTTGCATGACTTAACATCCTGTTTTTAGTTTGGAATACAGCACTCTGCAACCTAGTTCCTGATCACGTTTTAAGACTGTGAACATTCTTAACGGAAAACCTATGGTTACCAAAGGGCAAACATGGGGGTGGGGGCGGCAGGGATAAATCAGGAGCTTGGGATGAATATACACACATTACTGTAAGACAGATAAGCAACAACGGACCTACTGTATAGCACAGACTCTACTCAATATTCTGTGATAACTATAAGAGAAGAGAATTGGAAAAAGAATGAATATATGTATAACTAAATTGCTCTGCTCTACCCCTGAAACTAACACATTGTAAATCAACTATACTCCAATAAAATTTTTAAAAAGTCACTCCCAATGCAAAAAGAAAAAAAGATTGTGATGATTCTGATGAATAAAGTAGAATCCAATATTATATACAAAGTTGGTAAAACATTTTAATAATCAAGGAGAAATATACTGACCTAAAGTCAAATCAAAGCATCATGTAATTTAAAAATAAAGACAGGGTTTTGAAGGCCAATAGGTCGGGCAACGTGCACACACACGTACACTAGCAATTCCTAACTTCCTCAAAGCCAAGCGTCCTTTATTCTTTCTCTGTGGGTCATGTTCAAAAAGAGCTATTCCACTAAATTGCATTTATTAACTAATGGTTCATCTTCCCACTTAATAAAACAACAACGCTGGAATGTTTGTGTGTATGTCATTGCCCATCAGAACTTCAAAACCTGAGTGAACCCATTGTTAATCATGGACTCCAAACTAAAGAAATCGCTGGTCTGATTGCAACTTTATGTGTCTCCATTGATGCTTTTGGGAAAACTAGGCATGGGGATTAGGAACCTCAGGTTGGAAAGTGCCAGTATGAGGTACTGCTCTCCATGCTGCCCTCCTGGGATTGGAAGGTGGGAGGGTGGCACAGCGAGGCAGTTTGGCCTTTGGATTCAGTTTGGCCTGCCTGGGTTTAAAGCCTAGCTTTGTCACTTAAAAGGCTACTCGCTGACTTTAGGCAAGTTACTTAACCTCCCTGAGCCTCAGCTTGCTCATCTGTAAAATGGCACTGATTTTAATATTACACTTACCTCATAGGGCTTTTTGATAGTTAAATGGGATAATATGTGTGAAGCATCTGCATTATGGTTATTGGTGCTGGAAGTCAAGTATTCACAGTTCTAAGTTTCTACCATCCAAGCAGTAAGAATCTTAGTTCCCATGTGGTAAGACTTCTATACCCTAGAAAATTTCTGTGGGTAAGCTGCCAGGGTCACATGCTGAGTGACATAAAGGGATTTAAATACAGGTCTGACTGTACAGTCCACTTTCTGTGCTGCTAACATGTTCCCCGTGGTACCTTGATCAGATGCTGTCAACAGCTTGTTAAGGGTGAAATCAGCTCTGGCTTTCCTAAGAGGCTTAGCAAGTGAATGGCTCCTTACATCCACTTGTGAATTCGCAAACAGTGGCATTTCTTTCTCATTAGAGCCAAATGTTTCTCCAGAAGCGAGTAGATTGCCCCCAAATTGTTATTAATAACTAAAATATCACAGCAACAGTTTTAAACACTGCAGCCTAAAACTTACATAATCATCCTGTCCTTCAAAATTTTCCACCCTTCCTCATAACCAGTTACATACTCTCTTTCTTAATCATTCTTCTGAGTATGGGGAACTATCTGGAAATTTCCAAGAACATCCCAATTTATTATAATATTTATTCTTTTCTATAAAGATTTATTCCTTTCAAAGCAACTAAGCATGATATATTTTTATATCTTTATAATACTTTTCAGTGCATTTGCAAATAAAAAAATATCCTAAGACTTTTAATCTTAAAAGTCTTAAATTTCTACTCTTAGTAGTTCTTCAACATCTCCCCAGCATGGCTCTTGATCCTTTTCTAGTGGCCTTTTGTAGGAAGCTTTCCTTTTTTTCTACCTCCTTTTGTTTAATCCTTGCATGATTTCTATTATGCTATGACTGCCTGTTTGAGCTTTCTGATTTAAGATTCTTGGCCAATTTACTGCCCCCCGCTCTTTCTCTTTTTTAAGGTTTCCATAGTCTCATCATATATAAAAAGTCTAAAGCATGTCTCATAAACCCACTTGCTTCCTTTGTTTTCCACCATGGGTTAGGAATCTGGAAGTCATTCCACTTCCCGTTCTTCCTCTACTCTGTTAATTTATTGTTTTATTTCTCTCTTCCCCTCATCTGGGCACTCACCAGGTTCTATCACTTGGCTTCCTCTTCTGTAGCTACTTATCTCTTTCCCTTCAAGCATTTTAAGAAAGTCCCTGTCCAAATCTTCTATAATCCCCGCCACATTTCTGAGAGGCCTCTTGTGATGTCATGTTGAGAAGTCTACCAAAATCCTTGCAGAGGTAGGGTGTAGACAGGGGTGGCAGCTCCCCACCCCTGGGAGCCAGGCAGGAAGTAGTAGGAACTGGGGCCTAGAGGGTCATATATGTCCCACCTAAGTGGGGAATGGGGGTGTCACTCCCCAACCCCAGACTCATTGTTGTCAGATGAGAATGCCAGATCTGCAGAATTTTCCAATGGAGTCCAAATCAGGATTTTTATATAAAATATATAAAATGTTGACCACATTAAAAAAAGAAAATGAATTTGTATCTTATCAAGCCTTTAGCTGAAACTCTAATTTATAGAAAATCTCTGAGACAGAAGAACATGTAAAACAGCATGAAGGAATGCAATCTCAAATTTCTGACTGTGGGAAACTATGAGTCAGACAAATTTTATCTTCAACAAAATTTTTATGATGATAGCAAGGATGACAGGAAGAGAGGGAAGGAAACCTATTGATTAAATAAATTTAAGGAAATATTAATTGTACTGTATGAACCTTATTTGGAATTGTGCTTTGAACACTTTTTTTTTAATGACCTAACTGGACAGATTTGAATGCTGACTGTGATATTTGATATTAGTAAAGAATTATTGTTATTTGTTGATATGATAATGATACTGTGGTTATTTTTCTTTTTTACTAGTTGACATTTTTCATGTTTTTTTAGTATTCCACATTTTAAAAACTTTTTATTTAGAACTGTTTCAAAGTTATGGAAGACTTGCTAGAGCAGTACAAAAAACCCTATGTATACCACACCTATATCTACCTTTTGTCTATTTTTTTTCTTGAATCATTTGTAAGTTGCAAATATTATTCTCTTCTATACCTAAATACTTTAGCATTTATTTCCTTTAAAAAAATGTTCTCTCTTAGCATCTTTATCTTTTAGAGACTCATACTAAAATATTTAGAGATAAAGCAATGTGATCTGGGATTTGCTTTAAAGTAATACAGATGAGGATTTCCATGAAACAAGATTGGCCAGTTATTGAGAATTGTTGAAACTGAGCCATGACTACACAGGATTTCACTGAAGTAGTTTTTCCATGTTGTACACGTGTTTAAGATTTTCATAATAAAGTTTTAAAAGATTATGTTAATGAAAGACTTTAAAGTGATATGCAATGCTTATGGTATAGTAAGTAAATAGAAAGATACAAAATTGTCTATAAAAATATTATCTCAACTATTAAAATAATCACTGGGCATACATAAAGGACTGAAAGAATGCACGTCAAAATGGTAACATTCCAAATTATTTCAAGGTAAGTATATATTACTTTTATAATTAGAAGAAAAAGTAATATAGTTAAACAGAAAACACAGTTGGCAATGGATTCAATTAAAACTATTGTTAGAAGTCAAACAAATCACATATGTGGGTCGGACTGACCAGTGGGCCCCCAGTTTGCAGCTTTTGACTTAGAAAATGAGTCCACAAACTCTATCTTACAGGCCAATTCCACCTGCCAACTGTTTTTGTATAACCTACAAGCTAAGGATGGTTTCGACATCTTTAAATGATTGGGAAAAAAAAAAAGAAAATATTTCATGACATGAAAAGTTACATGAAAATCAAATTTCATTGCCCATAAGTGAAATTTTATTGGGACACAGCCATTCATTTTTTTATCTATGACAGTATATACATTATATATAATTCATATTATATATTAGTATATTTTTAATTTCATCAATAGTTTGTGAAAAATTGTTTTCTTTGTTGTTATATAAATATGCAGATAACATCCTCAGTTTTGCCTCCACTCACAGAGCTAAAATATTTACTATCTGGCCCTTTACAGAAAAAGTCTGCCAACCTCTAGTTTAGAAGCGGGTTTCCCATGTGACCTAAAAGCATCTTGATTTAGCAGAAAGAGCACTGGACTAGGACTTAGTTAAACGA